ATGGGTGTTTGCAGCAATGCAACCCCATCGCAACACTGGTCTAAGGTCTCCTGGTGTGGTTTGCAGCGATGCAGCCCAGCACGACATGGTCTCTGCATCGCCTGCTGGGTGTTCGCAGCAATTGCAACTCCAGCAGCACACTGGTCTTTAGCATCACCTGCGTGGGTGTTAGCAACTCCATCACAACACAGGTCTGCGTCTGTTGAAGCCGGACCTGTGTACCAAGCAGAGCGGTAAATTACCGTCGTAGAGCCTGTGGGCCGCTGGACTGGTCCTGGTGTAGTCGGGATCTGGGAGCATCATTTCAGTTTTCTTTACTGTTCCAATTTTTTTTTTAAAGCTTGTTTAACCCAGCGGACATGATTATTATTGTCGCTGGTTGTTGATGTTGTTGTCTCTTTTATAAACTATAGCGGTATCATGAGCTACCTCAATGCCATTACTTCACCAAGGTGATGCAGCACTTCTTTGAAGTCTTGCTGCCACAGTCTGGAATGCTAGAGGATCGTCAGCTGCTGAAAGAGAAGCTCTCGTCCCACAAAGCGTACCGGCAGTTCAGCGGCGATGGAGATGTTACCTGGATGTCGCGGTTGGCAAAGTCTGCTCACGCCACCTACCACCTGCTGGAGGACCTTAATTAAAGTTTTATGATTCAATTTTTCGTTTGAAGTCCTTCTTGTCTGAGTCTTTTTCTGACCGCTGAACCACCACCCTGTCTGCCATTCACACAGGACATTGTGTACAGCAGAAAGTATGACAATCAGCTCCGCACGGCAGGAAAATCTGGATCTGTGCCGGAACAATTCATGGAATACACAGAATTGAAGGAAGCCTGGGACAAGATCACAGCCCTACTGTCCGATGAGGCTGCTGAACGAAAGGCGCTAGCGGGACAGGCTCCAGAGATGGAGGATTCCGTCGCAGATGACCCTGAATCGGTGCAATCCTTGCGCAAGGGGCCGAATGCTTTTGTGCTTCACAGTGACAAGTATTGGCTTGCGGTTGCGAACCAAACTGTTCGCACATACGTATCCCTGGCGCCTGAGCCGAAAACACAAGAAGCTGTCGTCCGGCACATTCAGCAGGGTCCGCTCAAGGACATTAGCGCTGGGGTGCTGGTGTTGTTGGATTACAACCTCCTGGGAGAATCCATGGGACCGGGTGCAACAGAGGGTCTTCGCCGGAAATACAATCCGAGTGAAGATGTTTTGCGCAAGCTACTGCACGGGGCAATGCTTGCCCTTGGCGGCCAAAAGAAGGAAGACGAGCAGTGCACCCTTCCGCCAGAAGGGATCATAGTCTTCTTGCACTTGGGGGACCGGAGCGCGAAAGAGGCTCGGCACCTGTTCCGTCTGCGGACAGCGCGCGCCGATGCAGCCATCGACGCAGAGGAGAAAGAAATTTGCATCGGGTTTAATGATGAGAGCATGCGCGCGCGGAAGAAACTCAGCCGAGGCAATTACAGTGTGAAAGCCTCCATGTTGGTTTACTCCAACAACACTCTCATTCCTGGAACCATCCCGGAGAAACAATACCCACACCATGGTGGGTGGAACTCCAGTGACTTGATGGCCTTGGTGAAGGCCATCCCGCCAGCAGATTTGTGGTACGCTGCCAGGCGCGAACTTGGTGTTTTCGCAAGCTGTTGCATCGAACCCTGATTGTGTCACTATAATAACAACGTTTGACTTGTTTGAAGCACTTTTCTTTTATATATCTCACGCCAATGCTTCATGTCTGCCTTGCCTGTTTCACAGGACTGACAAGGAAGAAATCATCGGAGCTGATCGTACTGTGAAGCCGACTGACAGCTTTGTGGCGAAAGCCGGGCCGGCAGATCCTGATGCGGCTGAGTCCATTTTTTCTGCCCAGTGCTTGCCGTGTGAGTTCTATTCCGATATTGTCAAGGCTTTCTCAGGCAAGGCAGTTTTGGACCTCAGCATCGGGCAAGGACAGGCAGCGCTCAGCTGCCTGCAGAATCGCATTTGCTACGTCGGCTTTGGGCTGACAGAGAAGCATTGCGAAGCCTTGGAAAAGCGACTGACGCAGAAAGTCCTGGAGGAGATGAAGCAGGAAAGCAGTACATTCTACCGCCCTGAACTGGTGACCACCAATGAAGGCCAGACTGGCACTGACACTGGTAAGGGGCCCAAGAGGCCAGGCGGCAATGATGGAAAGCCAGAACCCAAGAAGCCTAAGGGTGGCCCTAAGCCTAAGCCACAGAATCAGAAGCCAGAGAAGCCAGAGAAGGACAGTAATAAGGGCGAAGAGGCAAAGGAAGACGACGATGACCGTCGCTCGGATTCCTTGCCCTGGTAAGTCCGCTGCCCCGTGCATCTGGAAAGGGATCTCATTGCCCTGGTAAGTCTGCAGCCCCCCTGCAGCTGGGAAAGGGATCTCGTTGCCGTGGCAAGGCTGCAGCCCGCTGCAGCGGGAAATGGGTTGAAAGGCTGTGCTGTCCATTGACACAGGTCGTCATTGGGAGCCGTTGCCTTGGGACTGCCCGTGCAGAATCTCAAGAAGTTTTGTCTTTTAGCTAGTCATGAAGCCGAATGGGTGGCGATGTTGGCCAGATATGCAGATGTAAATTTTCAGCCTTTTGGCCACCTGTTCTGCTGAAAACACCATCATTGTGTTCAGACTTCGGCCTACGACAAAGCATCGCAAAAAAAAAAACGCCTGCCAAAAATGTGAACATGTAACAAGGCAGGCGCCTGGTAGTTCTTAAATTATATGTCATGTTTTTCAATTTGGTCTCAAACTTGAGATCAAATGCTATCTGATTGCAGCCATCTTCTGTTCTACCAGTGAGTCTGAGAGGCGTCGACTTTAAATATGAACCGGGAAAACAATCGCCTGAAGGACATCCTAACTTTGAATGAGTTGAGCTGCTACGCCCTGCAAGCTGTTGTTGTGTGGGACGATGTCACTGACAGACTTGAAGAGTTGCCTGAACGACTGCGGTCGCTTTTGAGCGTTTCAGGCGCAGAGGTGGAACAAGCTACAGCAGTCTTGCGGAAAGTGCTGGATCAGGCGAAAGACGCTGAGACTGATCTTGCCACCTGCCTGACACTGCCAGATAAGGATGACAAGCCCAACTCGCAGGGTCAGGCAATGAGCTGTGATGCTGAAGAGGGCAAGTGACAGAAGCTGCTCGACTCCTCAGAGACGCTTTAGAATTTTTGTGGAAAAAGGCTGCGAGCGACTGTGAATGATTTGACAGATCGCCACCCACCAGCACCATCCTACAATAATAGTAGAACCGGATAAATACAATCTGATTCCGGGTGAAACAACATTTTGTCGACGGTCATGAATCAAATTGACCTCGCCAATCAGGTCAGCCCCACAAGCAACAATAGGGACTAAAAACAACGACCCCAGGCAAACAAACAACAAACCACAACCTCGAAATCTGAAGATTGAAGCAGTTTGCCTCAAACAAACACCAAAAAAAAGCAACCAGGCAACCACAGAACAACGCCAAGAAGAACAGTGGGCGCGACCAGCACGGCAGTGGCAGGAGATTGACCAT